ATTATTCAATACGTGAGATTACTGACCGTGAAAGCTGTAACTGCAGAGAACCGTGAGTTAGAAATCTTATTAAAGAATTTATAGCAAGTCGTTAAAATGAAGTAATGCAAATGAACTATACTATATTCAGATTCTCCATGGAAATACTATTATGTATAAACCATGGAACACTGACCATATTTCATAGCAGCTTGCCCAGGAAGTAATAGAATCTTTTTCATTAGGTTTTGAGAACCATGGCTCAAGCTGAAATGGCTTATGTTTATGTCAGCCTTATCTAGGATTCAGATAATTCTTTTCTCACTAGGCTATGTTTTGATTCCTTGCCAAGCAGGCGGCATAAGAACATGTAACCTTAGCTTACTTAGTAATTTTGAATGAGTCAGCTCTAATTGAGTGCATATTTAGTGAGCTCCTAGAAGGTGAATTTGCTATATAAAATTACCCCTACGTTTTGTAATGAGGTTACGACTGGAAATTGCGTATCATTAATGTAAATGTAATTTAGTAGTCTAATACTTTTTTATATTTCTTGAAGACAGTGATACTGCTTTTCTATGGGTTAATTTTGTTATGCCATTCTGGGTACCACTGAGAACTATTAGCTAATACTGCATTGGATCTTGGATGATTTGGATTACGTGAAACACATAAAATTGCTGTATGTAAGCATATTTCGGGACGTATGTTCCTAGAGGATCTGGCAGATCATTGACAAATAAATTAAACTTTACTGGGTTTAGAACCTAGTCCTGACGAATCCCTATTAAAATGCGTTTTCTAGATAAAATTGTATCGCCAATCCAAACTTGAAACGTCTTGTGCAATAAATATGATTTGATGATTCGAATAAGCTTGGAAGTATTCGAAGTTTTGTGAGCTTGATGGCAAAAGCGGTCAAATGCTTTCGCAAAATTTTTTCGAACTCAAAAATTATTTTAAAACATTATCTGATTTACTTTCTGGTGGCAGCTGATGAAAGTAAAATAAATTAAAATTAAAGATAAAATAATAACGTACCTGATTAATTAAAATAAATTATTCCTTTTAAAGCACGAAAGTGCGAAATATCATAAAACATGTTTTCTTTAGAGACATAGAAGGAATGACGAAAATAAATCCATTGCAACAAAGAAAGTAAATGCAGGAACTTTAAAATTTGTATGTTATATAAGTATTTCTTTTTGTTAGCTAATTAAGCAAATATATTTTATTATGAAGAAAAACCTCCAATTCGTAAGAAAAATTCATAATTAAAAACAAATGGCACTTTATTCACCCTCCTTTGAATAAAAATTTAAAACGTAATGATTAACATTTTAAATCTGAGACAGGATTTGCTGTTAGAAAATATTTTATTATAGGATAGCAGAAGTGTAACTAATTTCGTTCCTAATGAATTTAAAAACAGAAGGATAACATATAAGTTTTCAAGTAATTTCTTAATTTTGTAATACTCTAGAGAAGATTTTAATAAATTAGAGATAATGCTGTTTTTAAAGAAAATTTCAATTTATAATAAAAGTTATTTTTGTGGAGGAAATATTACAGCAAAACGTACACAGAATTAAAAATTCCTAAAATAAAAAACAAAACTTTTAGAAAGAGTGGAAAAGTAATACCTATTAGAATTTTCCGTTTTCCAGTCCAAATGAAAAATTAATTTTGTGGTACAGTCATATAATGTTTATGACGCAAAAATTGAAACTCCTGAGCTTCTTTCATTTTTAATATGAACATGAGATAGCTTGCTTTTATTTGCCTCAATTTTTTAAAGCAAATTTTTGCGAACGTGTCGTTTTAGTATAGAAACACTTAAAATATTAAGTGCCTATCTTTAGGAAAACCAAACTGAAGTCAATAAGGCAAGCGGTATCTTAAAATAGAATGTGATGTGAAATGTCACCCTCATCAGAAACATATATACGTAGAATATATAGAGACATACTCAGCTGTTTATTCTCGTCCTTGATTTTTCTTAAATAACTTCACGTCATCTTTAAAACGACTGATTTCAGTACGATTTTACACGTTTTTTTTTTTTTTTTTTTTTTTTTTTTTTTTCAAAACTAAATTAGTGTAAACGAATCGATAAAATTACTGCGAGTAATGAGGACAGTAACGGGACAGTGAATGATATTCTTTTAAATATTCTTAGGATCAACTTTCTTAAAATTCTAATTTTAGGCGGAAAAAAATCTTTCAAGAAACGTTTTTAAGTGTTTTGTTTTAAAACATCCACCATCCTTCTGTCATTCTGAAAATGTTAAATTTGCTTCCTGATATGTAATAGAATACTGGATACAATCAAGTACCAGAATTAAAGCTGCCAGATTTCAGCCATTGGATTTTTTCCTGACCTCACTACTTCTCGTCGTCACTGGGACTTATGCATATATGTAAAAAATATTTCTGATTAAACGCAGCTATAATACGCATGTCTTTATTCTCGCCCAGAATGAAAGAAAGTTTTAACCTAAAATATGTTATTTAAATACAGCAAAGCACACGACGAGTATTTGCCTAAGGGAGGAATGCCTTCATGTATGACTTTCTATGGGATATTAACTCATATTCACGTTAGACTTGAGGAAAACAATGAGAAACCTCCCATACATTCAGCCCTTTTACCTGGATATGAGCCCGAGTTGAACTACCAGTATAAAATGATCTTGATCACTTGATCACAGGTTGAATTTAACTTAAAACTGAATCTCTCCTCACAGGATTTTCATAGTAATTTTACATTTACTTACTATCGTATCCGTTGAATCAACATACCATAAACTCTTATATTTGTATTCAAGTAGAATTAAGGCTGCCAGATTTCGGAAATTTTATGTCTGGGTATGACAACTTAAGAAATTATGCAGTTGTTGTCCTAGATTTCTCCAAGAAATATGAATGACCGCTACAAATTTCCCGCTCTTTTAGAACCCAGAAAGTTAAATTATATTGCGAATATTACACTCAAGAATGTTGGTCAACAAAACGCTTACTTACACGAACATCTTTGATTTACAAAAGCCCATCCCCTAATTCAGTGCACCAAATTATAGTACAGTTATCTAGAGGGGAGCACATTTTTCCTCTCATATTGAAACATGTGCTTCAGATATTTCACATAAACCCTTTACTGTGGCAAGTGCACTTCATGATAGATGGCTCCATTTAAAATAATTTAATTAAAAGCTAATAGAATACCTGAGTCTGATACACAACTAAAACGTTATGTGCTATATGGAACTTTTAAACAGAATACGTTTATGCTTTGCGCTTCACTTTGTTGAAAGCTTTAAGATTTGAAAAAAGATTTGAAATTTAACTATCTTAAATAGTGCAAAAAAAAAAATTCCCACTAATTTATTCAATGTTTTGCTTTTAATATATAGTGTAATTAGAGGGATGAAACGAAGTATGTGCACTCGGCTGTTCTTCAGTACATGATTATTAAGAAGCAGAAATATATTTCTTGATGAATACGATATGTCATGGTCAAGTACATCAGACAGTAATACATTCAAGAGCTTTTTTTCTGTAAACTACATTACAACGTATAATGGCGGTTTTTTTCTTTGTTCACATAGTTGTAAGGTATCTTATGTTCAGTAGCCAGGTATAAGTGATTTACGACTTTGCTGTAACTATACCTTCTCCTTTCCTCACCAGAATGCAAATTAGCTTTGTGTGTATTTAAGCTCAGGATTTCGAATATTTAGATGAGAGCTTCTGGCAACCTCGTCATGCTCATTGTATTTTTGCTACCTCCGCTTAAAAGTTATATTCCGACTTTAACATCTCCCTAGCCAAGGTTTTAAATTACGCATCGTAAAATACTTTGAGCCAGTTATATTAGTCTATTTAATGTGAAGTCTTAGATTACGTCATCAACGATTGAATCTGATAATCTGTTATGTTAATTTAAACATGCAAGTAGTGAAAATTTCATCTGTAGCACGTGCCTTACTTTCAAATTAAGACTAAATAAAAATGCTATTTACACGACTTTGGTATTCTGTGAGTTGTTAAGACGTAGCGATAGCTCGCTATTCGCTTAGTAGGGTCTTCAGGACATTAGCTTCCAGTTCAAACATAAACCTTACACAGCCAATACTTCTATTAAGCTCTATGCTATGGAAGTTGTTAAATTGATTTGATGGACAAAAATATAGTTCTGCTTTTGTTCCTCGGTTCAAAGTTATGCTTATGAATTTGACATAGTGCCCACCAGCGGTCGGGAGGTAAAGTCGCTGAATACTGGTAGTTCAATCCGGGTTTTGAATCCTGGTGAACGGGCTGGTTGCATGGGCATTTTTGTTGTTTTCCCCATGCGTAACGTTTATACGAACCAGTTTCCCTTAGAAAGTCCTCCACGAAGTCATCCCTTCCCTTAGGCAAGTAGTCCTCGTGTACTTTGTCTTAATCAACTAAGCCAATCTATGAATTAGATTATAAGTTCGTGCTTCCGCATATCTCGGGATTCTTTCATACAGATTCAATATCTCATAATACAGAGTGCTACAGAATTCTTAGTCACAATTTTAAAGGGTGATAGAATTTGGTTAAGTAATAATTTTTGTTATGCAAAGTGGGCTGGATAATGTGAAATGGGAACGATTAGACACTGTAAGTATGAAAAGAATATAAAAAAGAAAAGTCGCTTTAATCTCGGTCTGATTTAGTCTGATATTTAGAAGAATTCTGCAAATGAACGCCCTGCTACTACAACATATATTATAATGGCGAAAGGTCTCGAATATAATGGTCTCGAAAGGTATAATGGCGAAAAGTATTCAGTTGTACCTTAAAATTGTGATCATCAATTCAGTCATATCGTGTACATTAAAGTAAACTCTTTATGATATTATTCAAATTTAAAATAGCTGCAAAATCAAAACACAAGATTTAACCTATTTTTCATTTATAATATAATATATTTAAATTATCTCTATTGGAAAAAAAATTAAAAGATAGCTTGCAATAGGTATACCAAGTCAGACCTTCTTGAATATCCTGGCAATCCTCTCTCCGTGTTCCCATGGTAATACTGGTGCTCTTCGACAATCTATGCCTCGTGTGCCGTTGTTATATACTTCACCTCTTCGGAAATTATTTCTGAAAATATCTGGATTTCTTCTTAACAGGCGGCTGTATGCATCGAGTATAACTTTTGCGACGTCATACATAAGAGCAGACTCAGCCTGTTAAGAGAACAGAAATTTTTTTTTTCGATTTTATTGCAGTGTAAGATTAATAAATAGCCAAACAGGAAATTACAATGAAGAGTCTTACATCATTTTATTACAACGGAATGAAAAGAGAAATGTGAAAAGCAAATGTATTGGTTGTAAAATAATTTTTACTCACTTAAATGAAATAATTATTCAAGGCCCTCCAAATCCCTAATTTCTCTTATATAAGTAATTTTATTTAACTAGCAAACTATTTGTCGGGTTGTTAAATAGCTTTTCAATTCAGACAGTGAGTTACTAAATCTGACTCAGAATATAAGAGTTATGTAACCTGAATTAGTTAATTAAATTAAAGATGCTACCGTTAGTATAATATAACTATTAGAACATCCGTCAGAATGCTGCGGAATACTGGGGTTTCGTTATGCATAAGGAAAATTCATGGCCAACTCAAAGCGAAAAAAAAACACTGCGAATGACGTTTATGTGATATACTCCATATGAAACAATTTAAAATAGAGGACGGGGACAAATTCATAGATAAAAAAGAAAAAAATGTGAAAGGTTTCAGATTTCACATTACGTCCAACGGGGCGTTTTTTTTAACATTTTGCTTGTTACCTTTATTTATAAAATATTATTTTTAGGCACTTAAACCATAAAATTCAGTTCAATAGCAATATTGCAAAATAATTTTAAATTGAGCGTATCTTTAGAATTTCTAATACACAGTCTCACGCGCTGGAGATAAAATGTTTTTCTGTACAACGTTGCCATTGCTCACTTTGAAATCCTTGATTTTGTTAATCAAAAGTTCGTTAAAGGTTTACAATATATGAAATCGATAATAAAATAAATTCCAAATTACAAATTTGGGCTTCCAGATGCCGATATTAGCTGTAGAATTACGGCATTCAAATAAATTTTAAAATTTGATGACTGTAGGTAGTGTTGTTTTATCACGATGAGAGAAACATACATACATTTATGAAGATTCTTCTTTATTTAATTTCTTCAAATATAATACAGGGCGATAAAATTTGATGGCAATAGTTTGAAAAGTGAAACGGACATTCAGAGTGATTCGACGCAAAATCGTAAAACGAAAACATTAGTCCCTCAGGGACAAAGCCCCATTGGCCTAAAAATATCATGACTATGGTAAGAAACAGGTCAGTAATTTATTGTTATTTTAGTTATTTAATACTTAAATATCTACCTGCTCTTTCCTGTAAATGATTTTACATATACTCCTTCAAGGATATTTAAAAAGGTGAGGGTTAATCATCAAGGTTATCACTGACATGTTGCTTATTCTCAAAACGTATCCGATCATGTATCATTTTAATCTTTGCATAAATCTCAATGGTTTGATCTGCACTGCCACTGAGAAGCAAAGTAGCAGACATATTAAGTGACAATTACAAACGCGATGATAATTAAATAAAATTGCTCTTAAATATTAGCATAAGATAATTTGGTTTACTCCTGGTTTATAACACATTGGGCTGATAATCAGAAAGTAATATTTGACGTTCAAAAGACGTGATTTTAAGGAATTCTAACTTTAGCTTATGTCCATTTGGAGGAAAGTATTTTTTCCCCAGGAAAACCAGCCAGTTCCTCCACCGAGTACTGAAGCTCGTTCAGAGGTAATACTGCTCATTGCATTTAACTTTTCGATTAGAAGTAGGTTTTTTTTTAAATTAGTATTAAGATGTCATACATTTTATTTTTATTTTAAGCGCCACTAATTATAAATAATTTCAAATTGTCTTTTAACTACCAAAGGAAGAGAAACGTATTATCGGATTTCATGATGTGAACGATTAGAATGATTTTAAATTTTTACTTGTAATGACTGCGGGTTTAAAATGATTCAAAACTGCTAAATGAAATTACTTCCAACATTTCAGTAGTTTGCCATAATTAATTTCTTTACTTTTAGTTTCAGTTTGAATTTCACAAAATTTAGTTTTATTAATTTACTTTAGCTTACAATTTTCGCGGTTTTGAATGTTTAAGTTATTATTATCTACATTAATTGTTTTCATCTAAAAATTTTTGTATCCTGGTTAGTAGTTTCTTTATGCTATTTTCTTAATTATATGCAGGCTTATAATTTAGCATAGTATGACAGATTAATCTAGAGAGTCATATTTGACAACTGTCTCTGGTTTCAAAAATGTGGGGGGAAGTTATCTTTCGGCATCTACTTACTAAATTCCTTAAAATATGCTTACATTTGTATTCTCCTGTTTACGTGAGTTTCAAGGATGATTCTCAAAATCTGAAACATTTATTCTAAAAACCTCTTGTCATAAAAGCAATAAACCTTTTATTTTAGCTTGGTATCACATGACTGAGGACGGATATTTCTAATATGGTTATTTTACCGAGTTAAAAACCCGAAACCCTTCCTTTAGAGAAAATAAAGTATATACGAGAACACATGCTGCTGAGTAACTTACCGAAATATAATCAGTTCCAGCCCCAGGCCATCGGACGGGATCTAAAGAACGCCAAGCAGGGACAAATTCGCGAAAGTCTTGGCTTGTTGGCTGTAATATTCGGAAGCCAGTAACATTAATGGCTCCGAACTCTAGTACTTGACTATTTAAGTATTCATCCATAACCTAGAAATAAGACGAAATAAGATAACTGAGCATTTTTATGTCAAATAACATCTCAATTAATAATGTGCCGATCCTGTAAATTTCGTTACGAGAAATAAGAATTTTCTATCGAATAAATTGCTTCCTATCAAAAGTCAGACATGCATATATCCCGCATAACTCAAAAACGATTAGCAGTAGAACGTTGAAATTTTTGTATATGGAGCACTGCTCCCCCCATTTTTATTGCAATCGGCAGTACCAAACATACAGATATATACAGTGGGTAAAAAAGTATTGGCAATTACCTAGAATTGATCAGTCTAGCTAACAAAGGAAATGCTTGACAATTTTAGCTGGGCATAGTGAACACAGGAGGCAATAAAGACACAAATCTAACGAAAGATTTACTATGCCTTTTACACATTTCGTTTCACTATGCCTTTTACACAAAATAAACAACAGAAACGTAAATTTGCATGTCAAAAAAGTATTGGCAAGATCATACAGCAAAATGTGGGACAAAATTTAATACTTTGTAATCATACTTTTTGCATTTATAGCAGCTTGTAATCGATTTCTAATGAAGAAACCCAAAGTCCTGGTTGTTAAAAAAGTCCTGTTGGGGAAAACAAAAGTCCTGTTGGGAATTTTGTGCCATTCTTGCAGGAGTATACGCTTAAGTTCATCTTCATACGAAATTTTAAATTTCCTGACATCTAGGACCAATTTGTGCCATAAAATTTCAATTAAATTTATGTCAGGCTATAGAAACTTTAGAATTAATTTCGAGGCCGGAGAGATGAAAAATTTGCAACGCCTTCGCCGGGAATCGAAACGCGGAACTGAGCGTGCAGACCACCACACCAAGAAGACGGGAGAAATACCTTATACGGCTATTGAGGCGGCGTCTTTAACTGGCGAGGAGCGTTATAGAGTAACTATTGTCAAGTGAGGTTCGCTGTATCCTTAGGGTCATTATCCTGTTGAAACACGAATAATGTTGCTAAGTCAAGTGTTTGGAAACTGAATTTCGTGTTATGGCGCAATATGTCAATGTACGTGCGAGCTGTCATAATACCACCCATGAAGCACAGGTTACCAACTCCGTTTGGAGGCTGCCATATTAGCCCCAAACTACGACGCTCCCTCCAACATGTTTTACAGTCGGTGTGAAAGTTGTTTTTCCAGTTCGGTGTTAGGGTTTTTCTCTACAGAAATTGTCGTCCACCACTTTCAAAAATGTTAAACTTTGATTCATCGGACAAAATAATTGTATTCCAATTTTTCTTAACCTCTTTGATAATGCCACATTTTTCATTGCAGGAAATATTCGAGGGCGTCCACTTTATTTTCCGTTTCTCCTGTCTCTGAAATTTTTAACAACACTTCTAACAGTAAATAAACTTACGTTTAGTTTTTATTCCTATAGCGCGATAAATTAAACCCTCATTTCTGAGCTACTAATTAATCATGTTTTTAACATTAACATCCAACTCCTTCGACATTGAAGCCGTTTTATCAGAGTATTAGCAAAATAACGTTTTAAAAGTTCTGAAGTAGCACTGCAGACTTTATACTAACAGGGTTTCTTATCAGTCTAAACACGCGACCTCAACATAACAAAATTTGCATAGCAATTAGAACTTTGCCAATACTTTTTTTGTATGCAAAATTAGGTTTTTGTTGTATATTTTGTGTGAAACGCATATTAAATTAAACGTTTTCGTTACATTTGTGTATTCATTATCTCCTGTGTCATGCCCAGCTCAAATTGTCAAGCATTTCCTTTGTTAGTAATATGATCAATTATAGGGAATTGCCAATACTTTTTCCCTCACTGTATATATCTGTATGTTTGGTACTGCCGATTGCAATAAAAATGGGGGGAGCACTGCTCCCCCCATTTTTAAAAAATTTTAAAATTTTTCAAAATTCTCGAAAATTACCGATATACGAAATACAAAAAAAAAACACAAAATATACAGGAATAAGAATAAAACAAAAACCTCTTCCTGTATATATAATTCCCAAAAACTACAAGTATGTAAAATATATATCTTACCTGCCTTTAATTTTCGGGAATTCTTCTAGTTTGGTGACAAATAGTTAACATTTGTTTCCATATTTGTTGAGAATTTTAGATTTCAGCAGCAAATTGCTCCGAACTAATATTGGGACAATTATATTTTAAAATAGATATTTGTTTTAAAATAGAAATTTAAAATTTAATTTTAAAATTCCGGCTAAAATTGACCGGAATATTTAACGTTAGGATAATTCGAGTTTATGAGTTTAAATGAAGTTAAGCAGAAAGTGTATAATTTAATAGGCCGTACATGGAAGTCATGTGGTGTCGATATCCTATATTTTTATTTATAGTAATCCAAAATTTAAAATGAATGAATCATTTGTTTTTCTTTTAGCCTAGTTTTATCTTTTTCCCACGAATTTTTCAATGAAACGACTTCTCTTTCACGAACTGAATTGGAAGATAATTGCTAAGGGCTTTATTTTCTAATCAGATAAAATAGAAATGTAACATCTAAAGCTTAAGAAACCGGAAAAAATAGAAGAAAAGAGTAGAGAAAAAACGTAAAAATTAAAATGAAAGAAAAACAAGCCATTAAATTGGTTGAAAGGTAAAACGCACGTTTAACAGGCGAGCATTTAAAAATAAATTGCAATTTTTTTTCAACTCCCTTCAAGAAAAATGGGGAAGAATTCTGAAGACAGTTCACGGTGCAAAGCTTCAACTGAAAATGCCATTCTAAAGAATATGATTAAAAAAATAATATTCAGCGAGTCGCGATTTACAGCTACCTTTCCTTAAACAGAGCGGACGATGGAAAAGGAAACGGACTTTTGTTTTAATGAAAGCAGCCTATTCTTTAAAAGAGAGCGAAAAATGTGGCGCCAGACTGATTGGCAACGTCTCGGAAAGCAGCATATAATTTATGAGCAAGAAAATAATTTTATTTAAAAAATTCTTAAATTGCATAAACTTACGAAACCGAAATTAAATGCAAAATGGGGTTCCAGAACAAATTTCGCCAAGAAGTTGAATTTGATTGAGCCAGAGGTCCTCTTTAATCGTTTAATCTGTGTTTTCTCTGCGTTCGATCAAATATAAAATTTCTATTTTTGTAAAATGTTCTGCTAAGGAAATACTCTATAAGCATCTAATTTCGAAGTTCTCTTTCTTTGGTCTGGAATGCCTTTTCTGAGAGACTTGATACGAAATGATTTTGACAAAACGGCATTAAACATTTTGAAATGTGTCTTTGAATAAATCTAGCACTATATACAGGTGAAAGTTATGCAAAATATTTTATTTCTAATGAGTTTAATCATGAAACGTCAACGCAGTACTGAACGATTTTGATTAATTTGAAAAAAGGAGAAAGTTAGCTTAGTAAGAAACGAGCTTTTTATTTTAACAGAAAGTAACTCCAGTCGTGAAATAATGTGTTAATTGTGAACTACAGAAAGAGGAAATTGCTTGATTGGCCTTTTATAGTAAAATATTTATTATTTTCTAATGATTTAATAAAAGTATTGCTCAAAACTTGGCTGTAAATTGAATGCTGAGCTAAAATAGCTGTCATTAAAGCGTAAGCTTTTAGTGAAGTCATTTACAGTATTGCTGTGACCATGCGTATGAATGGAAAAGAAAACCTATGTGTGGATGAATACATCGAAATTTTGATCAAGCTAATATATCTATTTTATATTGTACTCTATTGAAAAGTATAAAAATGTATAAACTGCCTAATGGTTTTAAAAAATACCCATTTTAGTATAAGTATACACATTTATGAAAATGCTAAAGCTAACCAAATTAATAATTGTTAAGACAGCTGAATTTTCTTTTGTCTCTGATTTCATTTGAATTTATGAATTTAATTGTTTCTCATTAGATCGAACAGAAGTTACCGAAAATTATTTTTTAAAAATTGAAACCATTTATAAATACTCGCATCCATACTAGTTCAGCCTTACAGTAGACTTTCAAATGAATGTGTTGTAACTTTCATTATTATTTTTAGAATACAATAACGTGTTAAATAACAGATAAGGTCTATTTTTCTTATTCACTGCCTTTTGCCTTTTTTCAGGAATGTCAACTAAATTTTATTTGAAATGGAAGAAGCTAAGGGATACACTGTCTTTGTATCCCTTTACACTGTTTAGCAGAATAAGTAGAAGAGTAAAAGAGTCATGTCTAAAATATTCTACATCAATATTTGAACAAAAATCATTATAATTTAATAATGGAATTTTTCATTTAATTTCAAGATGGGTGTTCTATACTAAAATTTTAATATACCTTTGCCAGAATGGGACGCACATATTAAGTGCCAGCCGATGATCGTTGGACTGTAGACTGTAAGCTTCAAGTTTTGTTTTGTAACGGAGCTTCATAAATTTTCATAAAAAATAAAAACGTCTTCATAAAAAGACGTTTACTCAAGATTTTAAAACGTATGTATGAAATCATAAGTGATAATATAATCTCATTTGTATCAGATTTAAAATGAAACCCAACTAAGTTCATCTATGTAGTACTGCATTCTGTTTGCTTTCAATAAAAATGTTTATTGCGGAAAAAAATAAGATCATCTACGAAACACATGGAGAGAATTTTGTAACCGTGTGAAAAATAAAATTCAAAAGTTTCAAAGAAATGAAATTGTTATTAATGATAAACATTGTTCAAGATACCTAAAAGGAATTTGAAGGAGATGAACTGCAAAGATCTTTAGATAAAAGACAGGCTTATACGCTGAAGGATTGCAAAACGAACTTGTATGACTTTTTCACTATTTTCAAATATAAGTTAAAAAATCCTTCAAAATTTTGTAAGCACCTAATACTTCCAAATTCTGATAGTTCAATTTCAGTTGAAGCGACGTGAGCTGTCAATACAGATTCTTTGTTAGAAATAACAAAATTTTAGATATATTGATTCAGTGTAAAGTTTTAAATTAGCTTACCAAGCTAGTAAGAAGAAAATGATAATTTCTTCGTCCCATGTAAATATCACGGACGTGCTGTACAATAATCTTTCTCGCTGTGTCAGCACTACAGTCCAGGACGACATACTTCAAACTTTCTCTTTCCTTAAACTCCAAAGAATGCAAAAAGGCATTTGCGTCTGAAGCATTTGTGATGCGTTTTACGACTTTGACTTCTAACTTATAGTTATCGGACGTCAAACGAAAGATATGTTGAAGTTTTAGCAAACCTATTTGGAAAAGAAAGAGAGAGACAGATGTTTTATTACAAGTAAAACTTCTTACTCCCTTTTAAATGGATTACTGAGAACTTGTTTGCTTTAAAAAACTGGCATTCTTCACTTCATATTATATAAACATAAAATGTAACAAACAGCATCACTGAATGTTTGATTCACTAAAAGAACTAATTAGGAATAACTTATCATGTGACAAATGTGCACATTAAAAATATTTTAATTGTCTATATATTACTTAATAACATTACAAAAGACCTACATCTAAAAGAATAAAGATGTTTGTATGTTCCCTTTTAAAGTCCCGTTAAAAACATTTGAGGGTTTTCTTTAGGTTACCATCTGTGAGTAAATTAATGTTTCCATCTATGTGCCCTGTAAAGTTTTATTTATGCTAAAGAGGAAATGTAACTCAATGTTATGCCAAAATAAGGTATGTTGGAGTTATCTACCTAAGCTCCATCCCAGTTTTCATTGAAATCAATCCATTGAACAGAAACTAAAGGTCATATACATCTCTTCTCGCACCTCCAACAACCTGGAGAAATGATTTTAAGTTTGACATATATTAAGCGTCCTTTTTCTGCAATTATGCTTGAGGTACACGGTGATTGCACTTGAGGTATATAGGGTAAACTCTGCAATTACACTTGAGGTACTTCTGGTCACCAGAATCCGCTCTATTATATCGTCATTAAAAAATAATTCAAAAGGCGAGATGTCAATGCTCAGAACACAGATACAATTATGTACTTAAGCGCATTATGTGTATCTTGTATCGTATTATGAGTGATCCTCCGGTAGAGCTGTTATATTTGTGAATGCATAAATATTTTCCTTCTCACTATATCTGAAAAACTGTAGGTCCTACCTTGATCAAATTGTAAAAGGTATTCTTTTTAATATTAAAAGTGCACTTTTAGGATGATGAGCAGAACGTTAATTTCATGTTATGAAATATTATGTAAATACCTGTAATTATTTTAAGCGTTACACTGTGAGATACTCCAGCTGAACTTTCCGCTTTTCAAGATCAATACTAACTTAAATTCTCGATTACTACTTAATGATAATTTGACAGCATGATATAAGTGATATAAAACAGAGGATATTAAATAATGTTTACTCTATTTCAAACTTAATTGAGAAAAGCGTATAAACAATAAAAGTACAAAGTTTACATATGTTTTAACTGTAAGTAAAGCAAGTAGCTTATTGTATCATTACCAAATAGCAGTATGTAGACAGCGTTTATATTCGAAGCTTGTCTAACCGATATTTGCTTTTCAAAAATATTATGCGACAACACTTGTAATGAAATGTCTCGGTTACCTTATTTATTCGTGTTTCGAGTTCTGTAATAGTTGTTAGCGGTGATACGAACTCTCTGACTTCGACACACCTGCACAAGTAAGAAACAAGTGGAGGAAATATTCGCAAAACCAAAACAAAAAGGTGGCTATGAGATTGGTTATCTTGTCAAAACCATTTGTCTGCAAATTCCTTGTTCAAATAGTCATGCACAACTTTATCCCAATTAGAAGTGTTCCATATTGGTGCCAAAAATATTTGGATATAAATGTGAAATTTGAGGAGAAAAAAACATTTTTTATCGTAATCATCGTAAACTTCTCTTGCGAAAAAGTAAATTTGGTAAATATGAAAGGTACACTGATAAATATTGTAGCAATCTCGATAAAAGTTTCTTTTAATAATAAATATTGTAGCAATCTCGATAAATACCATATTCATATTGTTTACATTTTTTCACAATTAGATCTTTGACTGTGTGAAAGACTTTTGGAGCAACCTATATTAAAAAATAAAAAAAATATGTAATAATAAATGATTATTCTAAAATTTTGTTTATGCAAAGCTGTGTGTATTTGTTAACAGCAGATATAAATTTAAGTTGCAACACATTTCTGTGAATTACAACCTAAAAATCGTACTTTTTTAATATTAAATCAGTTTTATTTACGTCATAATACCCAACCTGAAAGGTATTAACAATAAAAATAGACGAAACAGTTGTCTATATTTTATTAATTTGTCTTTATGTTTTTTATTTATTACAACTACGTGATAATATAATGGAACTTCAAACTGATAATACAGCAAAAACAGCCAAGCACGCATACAATTAGTGCACCTCTTTCCTTTTTAGGGAGTCATAAAGATTTCTGTGCATATTAGTCTTTTAAAAACGCATTTACGTATATATACTAGTTGATTTCTTTTCATACTTTTTTCCATTGTTTATTCTAACGAACAAAACAATTTATTCTCAAAACTATTTTAAACAAAACTGAAAAAGACGTTATACGAGCTGAAGAAGAGTAATCTAATGCAAAATTTCAAATTAGGCAGCAGCATTAACCTATATTACACGCAATAAATTGAGAAGACTTGGCCATAAATGTCGATAGTCAGCCTAATAGAAAATTTCCATCCTCAAAAATAAAAGCTACAGAACAGAAACCTTCTAACGCTACAGTTGAGGCAAACTGCTGCTTTAAACTTCAGTAATGACTTTACGCCAGTCACATAGTCGATTGATAAATGTGATCAACTACTGCTAGTATCTAAGCTATAAATTCTCTCTCCGTCGTAACTAAACAGCGCACATTAAAATTGTTGTTTCATTTATTCACTAACCATAGTGCAATTTCGATGCAGCATGATTAAATATTCAACTCTTTTGGAGAGAAATACTTCATACTCTGCTATTTCCCTACTTTATTTCTGTGAAATTTACATACCTACATACCATTAAAATAATTTAGTTAGTTTTGGTATTGTAAGGGATTAAAACATTGCCATGTTTTATCTGGTTATGTTAAATCTTTCACAGAGATATCTTAAACATCATTTCAAAATATGCTGAATCTCACATTCATACAACACATTTAGACAACGTGCAGGCACTTACAGTTGCCTACAGTTTCATTATTCTGTTGTCATATTAATCAATCTAACATTTGTTTCGGAAAAACACGTAAGGGCTTTTTGTTTTTAAAAATGATGCCTTCGTAATTCGTGTCTGATCTACGGAAAATGGCTTCTGTTTACGATACATATATAATAACCATATCTATGCCATCATTTCCTTTCAAAACCAAAAATTGAATTTTGAACGAAAACTTCTTTTAAACTTATTTACGAGCTTGATATATGCATTTTCATTATCTTAAACAAAATGTTAGAATTAGTTACTGCATTTTTATATGAAATTTCGGTGTTATATTTCCAGCTGTATGTTGTGATTTATTAGTACTTACATTTATATATAACAGAATGGTGGATGCTTTACTCAATAAATGAATAACTTATCGAATTTTCCTAGCTTCAGATGATAGCTGCTTCGCAAAACGTTCTTTAAAAACGACAACTGAATTAATTTCTTTACAGAGCCATAGCTGCAATAAATACGTACATTTATCATGCATGAAAGCAAATCTTTCGTAAACAAGATAGAAATTTTTATTGTTTATAAAGACATCGAAGCGACACTGTAGTCACTTAGATCACCACTGAAATTAAACTAGAGAAAATATTCTAGACTTTCAAAACTTCAGTTTTATTTTTTTAATGCAGTTGCTTTTTGGCAAATGTTTATGTGCCCTGATTTGTCTTTAGGTCTTAATAATTGTTTATATCTCCCTTTGACTGCCTAGTTCATATAAATGACTAATAAAAAGGAATACTTTTAATAGCGAAATGATAATATTCTTAAAGAATCAGCACTATTAGACATATTATCTGCGCTTCATGATCTTAATGGCATAGCAAGCATGTTTTTAAATTTTCATTTAAGATTCAACATTCATTTATAATAGCTTTTCACAGAACATGAGAAACCTCGTTTTATTTTTACTACTTAGTTCACGACTTTAAATATGCTTTCATAATTGCAGATGTAGTCATTACATAGGCAAAAGGTCTTAAATTTAAATTAGTATTCGTAATTATTTACGCTTTTCTAAAACATTTCTAAGCATATATGACAAAGTTAATTTTAACATCCAGAAAGAAATTGTTAATAGAAGAAAAATGCAAGAGTTCACTTAACTTATGACATTCACATTCTTTTCGTTTTTATTAAGTCATTAGAGAAACGTATCAAGTGTTATTAACAACATGTATTAAAATTTGCTTTAAAAAAATTTTATGTATTCTAATTTATGTAAAAGGGTACAGGTGAAATTATATTTTCAACGGACATTTTCTAATTGAAGATTAGAGCGCAGTACTTTATTGCGTGGTATATAATTACTAGGTAAGGATGCAAGATATATTCTTTAATGAGTTAAATATTTTTACGAAAGGATTTTATATTATAGCTGTTTATTTATTAGTAAGGAGACAAGTGTAAATAAATAAAATAAAAACTGTAGAAATAACTGCCTCAGGCAACCCATACTACGCTATTTCCACATATAAATTTATGCCACAGGACTATACCATTTATTTGAATTGCTTCTACATTTGACGTTTCAATTTCTACAATTTTCATTTCCTTCGGATTAAAAGTATTTAAGTAAATTATTATTTCTTTAAATATACCAAATTTTCTCAAAGGAGTATTCTTGAAAATGTTATAAAATGGTAATGAATTTCACATAAATAGGAGACTTCAGTAAGTTGGCTGTTGTAAGAAATACAGTGTTACTGAATCAAGCATCGACAGATGATGGTTTAAAAATAAATTTTCAAGGAATCGTGAAGTTAATGATAAAGGAGATACCTTATCTGCAGTAGAAATTCAACCAAAGGAGTAATAAAAAGAAGTCACTAAAGAAGGTTAAAATCGACTACAATATATGCAAAATTTACTAATGAAGCATCAGTTTGGGATCCGATTACCACACAGAAATCATAAACAATTAACTTAAAAGCGTATTGTGATGAACGATTACGAGAATAGTACGATCAGCGTATACAATGAAAAATTTGTAAACATATTTCATTAGTATTGTCGCAAATGAAACAGTTTTTCAACTGAATGGTTTTATATTATGAATGTTTAACTTCAAAAAGAAATTAAAAACATTTTAGCAGATTCGTTATTTTCTTCTTGCTTAAAAGTCAATAATATTTTTCACTTTTGAAGATATAAATCGGAAATAAAGTAAGCGAAATAAATAAAGTACTGTAAAAAAGGGCTGGTAATATAACTATCAAATGATAAAATGATTGCCCCACGTCATGCTAAATAAAAAAGGTGATAACCAGAGAGTCTGGATCGCTTATCCTAGAGACCCGACGACATTTCTTAGGAGAAATTAGATATTTATTGCCCAAAATCGATAACACATTAGATGACAGCTGATCTTCCAGTTCAGATATGTGAAAACGATATTGGTAGAGAGGTAATTTATTACGAAGGGAATACTCAAAGACTATTCGCCTTAAAGAAAATCAATGAATTATTTATTGACAGGTAAATTTATTCATCTTTGCGTTACCTATAACTAAAATTTTAAAATTTTGTAGTCTATCGCCTCCCACTGTTTACGTCTGAGACGAATTACGAGCATTCATTCAACTTACCTACTCAGAAGATATAGAGGCAATCGATAAACACAGAGTAACCTGCAGGATAAGAAAAATATTTCTCTTACCTCTTTGAATTAACTACAGTAATTTAAAGTGAATGCTGTTTCAAATACTCTTAATAAGGCTCTTTCACATGAGAATTGTTTGCGACGAAGCATTCTTAGTTTATTAAACGCTGCTTTTTTATTGAACACATAATCACATTCCTAGTGCATATTGTTATAGACAAATATAACTTAACCCTAGTAAATACATAAGCAAAGTTAACTACGTAATTGTATTATTATTTTATTAAAACTTAAGCCTACCAAAATGTTTAAGAATTATCCTTACTACCTGAAAATACTTTCAAACATCAAGCCTAGACAGCTTTTTGAACATCATCATGGGATTTTCATTTCCCTAGAACTAGGAATATGCTGTTATAAATGTTTTATAACAGAAAACTATCCGAGTCAGGTAATGTTTTCCAGAAAATGCTAAATGCGAAGTAGCTTCAAAAACACATAACAGCGTTTGCCATTTCTAGGAGAAATTATCTGCAAATAAACGATTCAGCATCAGTGCAGATGATGCTCAATACAAGTATTACATTAAAAACATGAAAACGAAAAACAGGAGCTGTTAAATGCAGTAAGAACCTGTCATGTTTCTTATACAAATAATTTTGCTGTAAATATTAATGCTGCTCGAGAACTTTTACTGTTTAAGTCCCGCAACTAGAGAGAATATGATCATTCATTTTGTAGTCACTTTTCTGAACAGAAAACATGAGAAATGTGCTATGCTTTCGCTGGGACCCGACCTTCCGATTGTTAATCGGATATGCTTTCCAATTACATCGCGAAGACAAGAGGTAAAAAGGAAAAATAACCTTTTGTTCTTCCACAATTAAAGGGTGATAATGGAGAAAGAAGAATCCTCAAATGCGACCAGTAAGAATAATCAGTCGCTCATTATCGTTTTTTTTTTTTTTTTTTTTTTTTTCAGTTTGTGTGCCAGTTGTAGAATCTTTAGGATAGTCTGAAACAGGAAACGTGAAAATGCGCAAGGCCCTCGCCAGGGCTCGAACTGCTAATCTTCCGATTTCTAGACAAACGTGCTTGCTAATTACAACGTGAAGACACGCAGTAACGGGGGGGGGAACTTACAATTTTGTCAAAATGCATTAAACCACCGTTAGCTTCTTCGCATTCCTTCTTCCTTTTTAATTTAAGACAAGTGAAGCCATTTTTGGCTACACGGATTTTT